ATGCTCAACCACTGAGTCACACCGGCTGGGCTTAGCAAGATCGTAATAGGTACGTCTGAAAGTAAGCTGTCCCATCCCAGTCAAGTACCTGAGTTCTAAATATCCCTTTATGAGTGAGGACCAGCATTTACCTAAACCGCCATCTTGGTTCCCCTCCAGTGTCAAAGTTCCACGAATTTTTTGTTCTGAGAAAGTTACTTTTTACAAAAATATGTACAACTTGTATTAAACATATAATCAGTTTTATCATTATTATTTTAAAATAAATCAGTAAATATTTAAAAATTTTTAAATTATAGTTTCTTCTAATATAATAAAAGCACATTTAAAAAAGCTCTTTAAGCCCTAACCAGTTTGGTTCAGTGGATAGAGCATCGGCCTGCGGACTGAAAGGTCCCAGGTTCAATTCCAGTCAAGGGTATGTGTCCTTGGTTGGGGACACATCCCCAGTGGGAGGTGTGCAGAAGGCAGCTGATCGGTGTTTCTCTTATCGATGTTTCTAACTCTCTATCCCTCTCAGAAAAAGAGAACTGATGCAACACAATAATTAAAATACTTTGCAAAAATGGACTCAACCTCCTTGGTTGTGGCCACATCCCCAGTGGGAGGTGTGCAGAAGGCAGCTGATCGGTGTTTCTCTTATCGATGTTTCTAACTCTCTATCCCTCTCAGAAAAAGAGAACTGATGCAACACAATAATTAAAATACTTTGCAAAAATGGACTCAACCTAATATTTATAAACTGTCCTAAGCCCTAAAAACACAGCAGTAATTTTATAGGGAAATGGGTTGGGCAGATGTCTCAAGAGGGTGCCAAAGACCTGGCAGTGAAGGACACTGATATACACCTGAACTGTGCTGTGGGAAACTGGAAAGAGAGAACTGATGCAATACAATAATTAAAATACTTTGCAAAAATGGACTCAACCTAATATTTATAAACTGTCCTAAGCCCTAAAAACACAGCAGTAATTTTATAGGGAAATGGGTTGGGCAGATGTCTCAAGAGGGTGCCAAAGACCTGGCAGTGAAGGACACTGATATACACCTGAACTGTGCTGTGGGAAACTGAAGCCACATTCATTGTCAAGCCAAGAGGAGAGATGACCATGCATGCGTGGAGGTGAGTAAGGGGATGATTACAGACTGCAGTGCTTACGGACACCAGCTTTGCTCTGCAGTCAGAGGGACCTGGTTCTAATGCTGACTCTAATATTTACTAGCTATATAACCTTGGACAAGTTAGCTAATCTCCCTAGCCCTCAGTTTCTTCAGCCATTCTTCCAGATAAAACCAGAGAAACTGCAGGAGGATCCTAGGACAAAGACTATTTACTACCTTGCGGGGCTTCTAAGCAAGTCTTGGCAGTCAGCCAAGGCCTGTAGAATCGACAATTTTTCTCAGATGGGGAAATTAGAGGAAGTGAACATTTTCATGCAAAGCAGGACCTCTCAGAAGCCCAGATTTGTGCTTTGAGCTATGGAGCAATCAGTACAACTCTGTGCTAAAGTGTTTGGATTAATCAGAGACCATTCAGCAGCAAAGTGTTAACAGCACTAACTAGCTCAGTGATGGTTTGCCAGTGAAAGGCGGGATTACAACAAAGCTGCAATCACACTTTTCCCCCAAAGAGGCTGCCCTAGGAGAAAGGTGAGGTGAAGGTGAGATATCTGGTTGCAGGCCATAAAGAAGTCCCAGATGGGGTTAAGTATCAGTTTTATAAAAGTCCTTCATTTAATTGTCCAACACATATCTGAATGCTAGCCATGTGCAAAGAAGCAAGTCTTGGCTTTAGGACTTTAAGAAGAGGATATGAACGTAAGAAAATACAATATCACAGAGAGTAAAGAGATATGTATGAAATAGAATGAAAAGATGAAATAATTTCCGGTTGGGTGTGGAATGGGGGAGGTCAGGAAATGTTTCTTGAGAGAAGAATGTGAAGAATAAGTATGATGCAGACATTCAGAGATGGAAAAATGGGGCATCTTAGGGTGTATTTAGAGCAAAATAGAGGGTAGAAAACAAACACATGTGAAAAGCACCTAGCAGTTCACTTCGTTTAAGAATAGGATGCTTAGTGACTAGAGACTGAAAAGGCAGATTGTGTCCAGGAGAAGGGGTTGGGACTTCATTAGTAAGTAGAGTAAATCTGATTACAGGAATTCTCTCTCCCATTCTTATTAACTATTTTAAACTGTCGATATTTTCTTTAAACCCCTACTCAACCTCTCATTCCCTTCAATAAGATTTTAAACTTTCTACATTATTGAAAACTAGAGACTGTCGGGTATTTTCTTCCTCAGCTTCCTACTCCCTACCTATAAACTTATCCATGCCCAACCTCCCCTTTTTTCCCAATGTTTTGGGAATAAGGAGCCCGTTTCCTATTAGAGACTACATCTTCCAAGACTGTGTTCTATTTTCTTTTCTGTTCTACCTCATTTTCTACCTCCATCTCCCCTCCTTCTGGGCGTCCCTCCTCCCATATTACAAAAATGCTTATTTGCACCCATATTCTTTAAATAAGCCCGAGTGAGAAGTCTATGCTCATTGTCTCCACTTCCCACTCAATATAACATCCATCCTTACCCTGCACTGAAACGTGTCTTTAAAGTTCTCAGTGCTTTAGATTGCCAAATTCAACAAACATTTCCACTTCTGATCCCACGAAGCATCTCTGTTAAATTTCAATCCATTGATCACTTCCCTACCTTCTCTAACCCTTGTGTCCTCTTGGCTTCACTGAACTCTTGGTTCTCTTAGCATCGCTAATGGCCACTCATTTATTTTCCTTCATGAGCTTCATCTCTGCTGCCCGTGGACACCAGTGGTTGTGTCTTTGGCCCACTGTTCTGTCACTCGACACAATATTTTTGAGTAATTTCATTATTTCAATCACCACTCCTCAGCTTAGCACCTCTTCAGTGAGCTATCATTTGACTGTATGTGTGCCTAAAAGACCACTCTATTTGGTTATCCAACAAATAATTCCACTGGGTATATCCAAACTGGAACATACTTTTCTTCAAATGCCCTTTCTTCTAACTGCTCCCTCACCAACACACACATACATTACCTGAAAATCTTTGCTGAACCTCTGGGTTGGGATAGATCTGTGTCCTCCAAGATAACCCAGTAGATCTCAATTATGAAATATTGCCATCAATGCTATTATGTAAGTAACTTTTTAATGTGTCGGGCTGCTCCACTAAACTGTAAGCTTCTGGGACAGGGATGGTATTTGAATCATCTTTTAACCTCTAGGACCTAGCATAATCCTTGACACATGGCAGGCACTCCATGAGTAATGAGAGCTATGTTTTAGGAAGCCATCTGCTGACAGTATACAAAACACAAAGCAGAGGGAGGACCAGAGGGAATGAAACTGTGGTGGATAACTGTAGAAGAACAAAATTATACAAGTCTGAACTAAGATCAGATTAATAAGAATAGAAAGAAGGGAATGGACATGTGAGATTCTGTTATGATAAAATGAATAGGACTAGCAAAAGACTGACCTGGGAAGAGAGGGATGCAGAAAAGACACACAGTGGCACCAGCTGGGTGGCTCAGTTAGTTGGAGCATCGGCCTGTACACCAAAAAGATGGCAGGTTCGATTCCCAGTCAGGGCACATACCTGGGTTTTGGGTTCAATCCCTAGTCAGGGTGCCTGTGAGAGTCAACCGATCTCTGTCTCTGTCTCTGTTTCTGTCCCCCTCCTCCCTTCCTCTCTCTCCATGATCAATAAGCATATCCTTGCCCTAGCTGGTTTGGCTCAGTGGATAGAGTGCTGGCCCATGGACTGAAGGGTCCTGGATTCTATTCTGGTCAAGGGTACATGTCTCAGTTGCAGGTTCGATCCCTGCCTGGTCAGGGCACGTTCAGGAGGCAACCAATCGATGTGTCTCTCTCACATCAATATTTCTCTCTCTCTCCCCCTCCCTTCCATTCTCTCTAAAAATCAATAGAAAAATATCCTCAGGTGAGGATTAACAAACACACAAAAAAAGCAATGAATCATCCCTGGGAAACAGGAAGACACTGGATACAATGCCATAACCAATAACTGTAATCTATTCTATACTTTACAAACTTTCCAGCATTTCTTTAAAATGGGGAATTAAATGGCCTAAAAATTGGATTTTAGTGGCTGGTGTTCTTTGAAATAAAAAAATATGTTATGTGATATTTACTGTAACAGAATGCTCAATAATTATCCATAAGTGCTCCTCCCTCTCTTTCTCTTAGTTTTCCCCATTTACCAAAGTTGGGTAAAGTGGAGGCTTTTAATCTACCATGGGCTGATTTATCAGCATGACACTATATATCTAGAATAATTACTAGAACTTGCCACATTCCAATAAGGTGACCTAAAGAGTTTCATCACATTTTTAAATCTACAGTTATGTGCAATTCTTTTTTTTTTTTTTAATATTTTATTGATTTTTTTACAGAGAGGAAGGAAGAGGGATAGAGAGCTAGAAACATCGATGAGAGAGAAACATTGATCAGCTGCCTCCTGCACACTCCCCACTGGGGATGTGCCCGCAACCAAGGCACATGCCCTTGACCGGAATTGAACCTGGGACCCTTGAGTCCGCAGGCCGACGCTCTATCCGCTGAGCCAAACTGGTTAGGGCAGTTATGTGCAATTCTTTAACAGGGGTGTTTGTGCTAAATTCTCATGTTCAGATGCTAAGAGGGGAACAGTTCTTCCTGATGTTTTAGAACACAGGCTTGCTGAGGAGACACAGACTTTATGCCGCAGTATGTCTGCCAAAGGTTGTCACATTGTCCTAGGCTGCGTTAGAGCAGCAATGGTCCTAATATGCCAGTAACTCTTCCTCTCAGAAGAGAACAACCTGGAGCATGGAAAGGCAGGCCCTAGGATGCAGGGATGGGTCTGGAAAATGTAAAGCCAAAGAGGAATAAGAGAAAAGTGAGATTAGGAAAACCAGAATTTCTTAGGCCGTTTGACCCAGCGCAAAGAGTTTACCTGATTCATGATGGAAAATTTCCTCCCGATCCTGTTGTCTGGCAGCCGAAAGCCCTTCCTCCTCATACCATCTTCTGACTCGGACTTAAACACCTTCTCAGGATCCCCTTTCTCCTCTCCTTCAGAGAGTTCCTTTTGCTTCCTCTTCCTCCTCCGGTTCCGTCTTTCCTTCGCACTCTTGGAACTGAGCTTAGACATTTCCGAGGAGCTCCTAGGTGAGCCTCCCTCTTCTTCACCTTCTTCCTCGATGGCATCTTCTGAGACAGTTCCTGCTGAAGTGGCCATCGCAGCAGCCTAGGAAAGGAGCCAGAGCCACAGATCAGATCAGAACCACTCACCTGGAGCCCCCGGAGCCAAGCAGTTAGTGCGGGTCATTTCCTTTTCCTTAGACGGAAAAGAGTGAGAAAAGGAGGAAGGAGGACCAGCCAGTGAGGAGACTGTGGCCAGGGCCCGGCTCTGTCCGTTTTCCAGCTGAATCTGCTTTGTGGCACACAGCAATGAGCAATCAGAGCAGAACCCAGTGGGGAGAACTTTGGGATTTATTCTCTTGAGTATCTCAGATAAGAATTTGGCTGCCTTCTTGGCACCAAACAATCTTTTCTGGGCAACTCTGAAAATGCATGCTAAGAAACTATATTATACATATGGGCCCGACAATGTAAAAATACATGTATATTTGGATAAGGATTAGAAAGTAAAATGTTAGGGTGGTGGCATTATAAATTTGTTTTTTAAATTTTACTTTAGAATTTTATCTATATCTTATTTTTAATTACAATCAATACTTTTCTAAGACTACAGAAAATCTCTGAAGGCGACCCTAATGTTCTCCTCAACAGAAAGGCTATGTTTACATGAAGCACTATCTAAACTTCTCTGGCCACTTATTTTTCCTCCACAGCCTCATGGCAGCTGAACACTGAACAGCTGAGAAATTCAACAAAAGATCATATTACCAAATAATTTGGCCATTAAGACAAATGGCATAATTGCAACAACCATGTGCAGTTGTTAACTGTATTTTAATCAGATCAATAACTGCTATTTGACAATGTGCCTAGAAGCGATCAATCGGAGTGGCAATCAGACGGGGCCTTAGTCACGGCGATCTGGCAGGCAGGACTGTGGCAAAGCATTGATCACTGACCTGTGCCTCTTCCTGTTGCTTCTTAAGCTGCTCCAACATTGCTTTGAATTCAGCCTCTTTCTGCTCTGCCTCCTCCAGTGTTGCCTGATTCTGCTCTTCATAAGCCATGGCTACCACAGCCAAGATCAAGTTCACCAAATAGAAAGAACCCACAAAGATGACCAAGACGAAGAAGATCATGTACGTTTTTCCAGCTGCTCGTAAAGTCTGCAAAGATAAAGACCATGTTCAGAGTCACTTGAATCGACTGAACCAGGCTGAAAACAGCCCGGGGGCTAATGTTCCTCTGTAGGGGCACTATTGCGTTTTGAATAGGACGGTCCTTCATTGAGTGGTACTCCTTCATATTGCAAAGCACTGTGGCAAAAAAAGCCCTCTTCCATTTCCCAAACCTCCTAATATAGTCCTTTCATAGCATTTTTTTTTAATAGAAAAAAATGCCCAGGGCTAAGAATTATATTTGACTTTGTCAGTTGGTTCTAAAACAAATATAAGAAAACAATACAAGCTTTAGCTCATTTACCTACTGGCCCTCGAAGAGTATTAACAGACAAATCCCATCTCTGGGATCAGGTCCAAGTCACCGGAAGTTCCCATCTTGAGTGACATTCTTCCTTATCCTCTTGTAATAGGACGGGTTTTTAAAGAGGATATGACATAAAGCAGTGGTTCTCAACCTTCTGGCCCTTTAAACACAGTTCCTCATGTTGTGACCTAACCATAAAACTATTTTCGTTGCTACTTCGTAACTGTAATGTTGCTACTGTTATGAATCGTAATGTAAATATCTGATATGCAGGATGGTCTTAGGCGACCCCTGTGAAAGGGTCGTTCGACCGCCAAAGGGGTCGCGACCCACAGGTTGAGAACCGCTGACCTAGACTAACTTCTCCATCAGAACCAGCAAAGTTAAATGACTTGCCCAGTCACCAACGCAGCCCAATAGAATGGTACTGACCTTTTTTTTAAAAAAAAACTGTCACGACCTGCTTGAACAAGTCCAAATATGTTACAAATCCCCAAAACATTGATCTATTTAGACTCCAAGGTCCTTGTGGATAGAAATCTTATCTTTACAATGTCTAGCACAGTGTCTTGCACAATGTGTTTAATTAATATTTCTTAAAAGGATGCCATAAACCCAAAAATCCAAAAGCAGCAATACTGCAGATGGTTTGGTGAAACAATAAGAAGTAGGAAGAGACAGCAGATTCTCAGGCCAGGCAAGAGGCTGTGAGCCTCCACAGCTATACATGACTGAGCATTAAAGAAACAGGACAGGAGCCGAAAGAATTCACTTAATTTTATAGAACAGAGAAATAACATCCTAAGGTGACTGTATAATGTCTTCACTGAAGGTCTCTTACATAGAATGTGCCCAACCCCAGATAGCCTCATGCAAACATTATCACACACACACACACACACACACACACACACACACAAAAAAAAAGAGGTAGCACTTGAGAAAGAGGTATTACTTACCAATTGATATAAGTTTTCCCAATAGTCCTGGGTCATAAGGCGAAATAATGCCAAGAAGGCCCAGCTGAAAGTGTCAAAGCTTGTGTAACCATAGTTGGGATTCCTTCCTGCTTTCATACATTGGTATCCCTCTGGGCATTGCCTGAGGAAAGAAAGGGAAGTTCAGGGCTTTCAACAGTCCTGCAAGTCATCTTTATGACCTTGGAGATAATAAATAACCATCTATAGAACCAGGCCAACAAATGGGAATTTAAAAAAAGAAGAAGAAGAAGAAAAAAAAAAGAGGGAAGAAACAAAGTAGCCAGGTCAATTTTTAAAGAAAATACGTTAGCCCCAAAATGTTAGATCCAATTAGGGCCTACTACAGGAGCACCAGGAAAAGTGAAAATATTGCCTGTTTTATCTGAAACATTATTTTAAGGGATGAGAGTAAAACTAGGTGAGCTACTTACCCAGCATCAGAACTGTTCCCACAGAGTAGAGGTTCTAGCATTCCAGGAACTGTGTAAAAATTTGCTAGAAGAGTTTGAAGAGGCAGGAAATGAATAAGGCAGATTTAAGGGAATGAGAGAATAAGGTTACACTGTCCCTAATTAGTCCCAGGAAAAAGAGTTATTGATTTTTAGCTCATATAAATATTTTCTGACAGGCATGAAACCTGATAAGAATTCTTTCCCATAATTTTCCTATATGTATTTAAAAATTAAAAGTGCTACCATAAAGCCCTTAATGCAATGTTCTTTTCCCAGACATCTGACTTCCACTCGTACTTCAAATCTACATGCCAGGTCCAGTAGTTAACTCAAAGGGGTTTAAGAGGGTTTTCTAAGCTGGAATATGTTTATATAACTTTACCCTCTATCCTTATATCTTCTCTTAACCACAGGTAAACTAGAAATCCTCACTGATCACCAGTTAGCATGTCCTATATTAAATGAAAGGCATGATTCCTTTAATTTTATGTGTCCCTAAAATCCCCTTTGCAACATTTCTTTTGGCTACTTAACTGCCTTTATTTCCTCAAGAGTGACTAATAGTGATATTGTTAACTTTTTCCATCATTTCATAGAAGTACTATTACACCAAATGTTCCTTAAAGTGCTTTGATTCCTGAAATGAAATTATTAAAATTCCTTAACTGTAATAGGATCAAATGATGCCTTAGAAATTACTTGACTCCCTAGACCAGATCAATTACTGAGGTCTTGCAGGATTAAGAATGCTTAAGAGGTATATTCTAGACCAGTGATGGCGAACCTATGACACTCATTTCGTATATTCTAGACCAGTGATGGCGAACCTATGACACATGTGTCAGAGGTGACACGCGAACTCATTTTTTTGGTTGATTTTTCTTTGTTAAATGGCATTTAAATATATAAAATAAATATCAAAAATATAAGTCTTTGTTTTACTATGGTTGCAAATATCAAAAAATTTCTATATGTGACACGGCACCAGAGTTAAGTTAGGGTTTTTCAAAATGCTGACATGCCGAGCTCAAAAGGTTCGCCATCACTGTTCTAGACCAAATGTTTAAATATCTCAGGCAACCCAATTAGGGAAAAAAGAATTTCTATCAAGCTACTGAGCCTGATTTTCAAAGCAAAAGTTTAGGAGTACATGTGACAAAGCTACAAAGTCTCACTTTTGGTTTTAAAGGGAGAGAAGTGGGGTGGGAGAGCTTCTGAACACAACCCCACCTCCAGGAAAGGACATGCTCCACAAAGCTACCTCCGGCAGCACCGGCATTCCTTTCTGGCCCCAGCTACCTTTGGTAAAGCCCAGTGATGGCTTCTGGCCGTGTAACCTAGAGATACATTTTCCTTTCTCCTCTTGCAGGAAGGGGCCACCTACTTTTATTGTTGATATACTCGTCCCAGTCGAAGCCCCGGGTGCCGTTCTCGAGGTAGCTGTCATTGAAGTTGATGGGCCACACCACACACTTGTTCCGCAGGTTGCCCATGAACAGCTGCAGGCCGATCAAGGCGAAAACACTCAGGCAGAACACTGTCAGGATCATCACATCTGACAGCTTCTTCACGGACTGAATCAGGGCGCCCACGATGGTCTTCAGGCCTGAGGAGACAGAACCCCCAGAATCAGAGTCACCCCACAGCCCTCCCCACCTCCCCCAGCCCCCTTCTGAGCTACTGGCTCCCACTCCTCCCCACAGCACCACCCTTGAAACCAGGCCACTTCATCTTTCATATCATGAGAATAACAATGGGTCAGCAATATCATCACTTTTTCCAGAAGTATCCATTTTCAAGCCACTAACTTTTAAAAAGAACAAAAAAAGGTCCTTCTCCAACATGTGGCTCTTTTCTGCCTGGAAGCACTTTCCTGTCTTTGACTGCTTCTCAGCAACTAAATGAGTCAAGTTTTACTTGCGTTGGGGCCTTCCTATGTGCTAGTCCCTTTGCCTGGAACGCTTCCTTCCGTTCCCGTCCTACCTGCCTAACTCCTGCTCATCCTTCTGGTCTCAACTTAAATATCAATCCCCCAGAAAACCTTCCCTGACTTCACAGCTCTTATGCTTCCCCATTATTGTTAGTATTTTAACAGCACCTTATACTTTCCTCTGTAGCTTTTATCGTGGTTATAACTAAGTATGTCAGTCTTTTTCACAGCTGTATCTATACTTCCTAGAACAGAGCAGGTACTCAGTAAATATTAGCTGAATAAACAAATGGGAAAAACAGGAATTGAGGAGGCTTGCAGGTTGGAAAGAGAACTACTGGAAGCTTGAAGGCCAATAAGTGAGAAGGTGCAATAATATTTTCCCAAGATCTCTGGAAATGCCAATGTGTTGAAAGGGTTAATTATTATCAATCGAGTACTTATGGTTTGTCTTTCCATTTAAAAACACACCTTTTCTATATCACATATATGCCCTGTTTTCTACAACTGTCCTACATTTAATAAAAAATAAAAAATACATAATCTACTTGAATCTGAGTTTAAACGCAAGCTACTGGTTTAAATTTGAACCTGCGGGTAGATTTCTTAATTGCACAGGAAGAGATCAGTGATTGGAGACAGAAAAATATGGTTGTGGTTTCATGAGGTTTGGGTCAAAACTGAGTCTACATGGCTCTCCTGGGCATTGCCAGACATCTGACTATCCATAGGACACGGCCAACCAAGCACTGAGCACTCTGAGGTGCCATGCACCAGACGGGCAGGAGGCAGACACAGCCTTGACATGGGCCTCAGGAGGAATCTCGTCTCTGATCTACTTCTGAAGGCAAGAATATTGGATGGAAATGCACGGGAAATCCCTATCCTGGCTCTGAAGTGGGAGGCTGGGTGGATCATTCCTAATCTTAACCAAGTTACACCATCTACTTATATGACCTGAACAAAATACCTAACCTCTTGGAATGTCATACTTTTCATCATTAAAATGGGAATAATTTTGGTCGAATATCATAGGGCTCTCGTGAAGATTATGCATGATTCATATAAACACTTAACACACCACCTGGTGCACAGGAAATGACTCAAATGTTAACCATTTTTGTCTGAACCTCAGTTTACTCATCTATAAAAATGCATTTATAATACCAACCTCATTGGGTTGTTGTGAGGTTTAAATTAAGATAATGAATGCAAAATATTAATTATGGTACCTGGCACTTAACACTCGTTAGCTATCACTTTTATACATATGCTGCCCTCCTCAAAGAGATATGACTGTGATAATGACACTGTATAGCTAACCTCATATGATAATGATCTAATTAATGGGTGTATGAACATGACTCTTCTTTTTCAAGCAACTACCTTGAATTTTCAAAGTTCAGTCAAGTGGAATTTTCTATGTGAGTCCAATAGCAGTAATGGGCCTGGCACAAACAGGCACTTAGTATATTTTTATTGAAAGATTAAATTAATGAGACCTTTTTTTCTTACACTGATATCCTGAAAGAGATCTAAGAGAAATTAAAGGAGTGGGGAAGGGGCAAGAGTTAGACCGTAGAGATGTAAAGTGTGTAGAACCCCGTGCTTTCTTATAGAGTGGGCCTTCCATGTTGCCACCAAAGAGATTAGAAAGAAATTGCCTGGGTTCCAGGACACAAGGCCTCTCTAACCTGATTCCTTTTCACAGGGCTGCGCAGAAAGAACAGCAGACAGGGAATCAGAAAGCAGGACTTCTGGTCCTGGCTCAGCTACTGCTTCTGGCCCACTGTGTTTCAGAACAAGTTTAAGTCACTTTTCAGTCTCATTTTCTCATACACAGAACGTGGATAAACATGGGAATACCTGGACAGTGGAAGAGAAGCTGAGGAATCTGCTCTCAAAGTCTTTTAAAACAAGTCAGAGATACTTGTTTGAGATTACCAGTAAGTGGTTGAAATTTCAATCTTCTATTCCTAAGGCCCTGGGAAATTGTATCATAATCACAGAGCTAAGTAAGATGGTATTGGTGGTATAAAAAAGAAGGCAGCCATAAAGAAGTAAAAATTGTTCCAGTGTTATGGAACTTATTTCCTTAAGTTTCTGAGGAATAGAAAAGTCCTTCATTTTATTTGGCTGGATTGGGGCAGGTCTATACTGGGTCAATAATTCAATTCTAGGCCCCTAAAATTATACGGTTCTGTTTGCAGAGTCAAAGACTGACTTTAAAACAAGTATAGCCAAAACCGGTTTGGCTCAGTGGATGGAGCATCAGCCATTATACAGTTCTGTTTGCAGAGTCAAAGACTGATTATTAAAAAAGTATAGTTGAACAGGTCACTGAAGAATGTTTGTAGAGTTTCTTTTCTTGGGCTTCTTTATAGAGCATCTATACAGCCATTTCTCCTGAATGGTTCCGACAATCACCTATCTGAACACCAGATGACTGTTCAAGGCCTTTTCTATTTCTACTTTAAATAACTTGAGAGCCCGGCTGGTGTGGCTCAGTGGTTGAGGTCCCCGGTTGGATTCCTGGTCGAATATGCGGGATTAAAGGCTAGATCCCCAGCTGCAGGCTTGATCCCCAGTGGGGGGCATACAGGAGGCAGCCGACAGATGAGTCTCATCATTGATGTTTCTGTCTCTCTCCCCCTCTCCCTTCCTCTCTCTGAAATCAATTAAGAAATGTTTTAAAAAATATAAATTGAGACATGAGCTATAAGCTGCCATTTGTACAGGTAACAAGTGTATAATAATACAAAAATCAAACCAATGCATTTGTGATATAAATAAATTTGAAAAAAATAACCATACAATTTTAGCATGAGTGTAATCTGGTTTTCCTAGGGTAGGAGCTCCTTGGATGGTTCCATCCAAGCCCATGTAATAGGACATTCCTGGCCAGGAGCTCAGACTACCCTGTTTGATAATGGTGGGCTCCCAGCAACCTTGTTTGTAGGAAGTGACCTTCTGTTAGTAGGTTACAGATGACAGGATAGACATCTGATTTAAATCCAGATCGTTTCCTCCAGAAATTTGAAACAGGACAAGAGACAGTCCGGTAGTCTTTTCATATAAACTTGGGAGCTAAGTGGTAGCCATATTCTGTCATTAAATCAGAATACACCTGAGAAGTAAAGGCATTTAGTATGCTAAGAGATAGAAAAGGGAAACAGAAACATGAGAGAGGCAAGAGGCAGGAAGACAAAGTACTTCTGGTATCTGGGGCTTTCTGGCTCTACATTCTGTTTCACTGGCTTCCAAAAGCCCAAAACATTCCAGCCCTTAGATTCCTGAAGTACTGCTGTATCCTGCACCCAGAGATGCTCAACTAACACACCAACCATACACGGAGCTCTTCACTCTCCTGGGAATGGACTCGCACACGCACACACAGCTGGTTTAACAGCTCTTCTCCATGAACCAGATGTCACTGCTGAAGAAATATGTAAACCCGCGTCCAGGAAAGTGTGAAAAAATGTCTTCAGCTCGGCCAGTGCTGCTCAGTGATTGAGCATTGACCTATGAACCAGGAGGTCAAGGTTCCATTCCTGGTCAGGGCACATGCCCATGTTGCGGGCTCGATCTCCAGTAGGGGGCTTGCAGGAGGCAGCCGATTCTCTCTCATCATGGATGTTTCTATCTCTCTCTCCCTTCCTCTCTGAAATCAATAAAAATGTATTTTTAAAAATTCTTCAAGTGTTTCACTTGAAAATTTAAGGCATAGATCAACTTCTTGGTGGGAGTTCAAGAAGTCTGAAGTAGAAGCTTAGACTGGAAATTGTATTCAACTATTTATACTTCAGAGGGGTTCAGAGAAACAAATCTTAATTAAGCAAGAATAATCTTAACTAAATAACATCAACTAAGGCCATCTAAAAAGTTTATTATCCAAGATTCTCACCCAGTTTGCTAGGAGAAAATCAGAGGAAGGTACAGGAAGAAGAAAGGTGGTGTAGCTTAATGCTTGCAGGGCAAGGTTGGCACTGGATTGCATAGCGATATTAAATATAAGTGGCCACTATAGTATACACTGCTCTCGGCCAAGACTCTTTTTCCTTCCATTAGGGTTGATAATTGCAAACAACCATGTTTGCAGACATCAATGCCAATTTATGGAAATGACGCCATCAATGCATTTCTTAAACTCAAGTCCTGACAGCAGTGGCTGCCATGTACTAGTAAGTGCAGCCAAGCAAAAGTGCTCCCCGATACCACCAACACAGGCACCTAAAGGCAAGAAGCTGCTGGTGAATCCCTGACCTGATATGTACGAGAATGGAGACTGGCACTGTTCTGTCTGTGAAGACAAGCTGTCTTGCTTCTTCCATTGGCTCACACACCAGAACAAGCAAGATACTGACTGAAAATGATTATCCAAAACAGAGCAGAATGCTCCTTCAAATGACTCCTACACAACAGAGTGTGCAACAGAAGCCCTGTGGGGGCAAATTGGACAGCAAGAACTCTTGGAAAAGGCTAACATTAACTAGCACTGGGATGTCTGAGCAGAGCAGTTAGTACATCTACATTTATTATAGATCAAGGAAAGACAGCTAGACCCAATGTACAGAAAGGTCAGCACCTGAGAAGAAGTCAGACATTTCATGAATTCTGAGAAGTAGGTGAAGCCACTACAATCCCTCCAACAAATGAACAAAGCCTGATTATGTTTA